TGTTCACCTCGGTTATGTCTGTCTGGCTTCAGCTGCCTCTGCTTCTGGTCATGTCTGCCTTTGCTATGAGGGTGTAATCAAAAATTGGTTTGAATGTTATCCCCTTGGGCACGGAATCAATGGCAGAGGCTGCTGCCACATATCAATATCCCACCTGAGAACAGCCCATCTGCATCCTTCCTCGAGCATCTTTGTGATAGCCCACCTTCAGAAACCACAGGAATATTGCAGAGCAATTGCATAACTCCTGGCATTAAATGTGAACGTGCTTGGTATGACATTTTGCCAAGAGCAAACTGGGATTTCATACGACAGCTCACCACAGGTACTTACACACTCTGTTGGACATGAATGCTTGGCTAGACAATACGTTTTGCCTTGGAGTAACCACCACAAAGCACTGATGTGCCAGTGCCTGTGGGAGCAGATGGCTTGCCTGTTTTCCTCCAGACTTTAAGACTCCAAATCCATAACACATCTCTTCCCCAGATTCACAGAAAGCTGCAAAGGAACCATCTCCTGTCAAATTTTCTTCTCCCACCTAGTGGGACCAACTCCAAAGTCAGCTATTCATATTGCATTGTTCATTTCTGAAAACTTATACTCTGGAGTTTAAGTGCTAAAAGCGGTGGGGAAAACCCAAGCAAACCACAGCATGTGTGACTAAAAGCAAGACGATAATCAGTGGTCCTTGAGACCTAGACAATCCCTTCTCTGTGAATTACCAAGGACTTGAATACAGGCCCTTTGGTGGGCAGCAAGGCAGCTAGCATGGGCTGTGTATGGGTGGCCCAGCAACACCAAATCTGGGGAGAACTGTAATACCAGACCTCTTCTTGAGTATCTGAAATTCTAGCCTGGCTCTTGCATGTTACAATATGGAAAGTATGCTGAATGACCATTTCCAGCTCCAACAGGAATTTTCTCTGACCTTTTGACAACTACCTGTTGTATTGCCTCCCCAGTTGGAAAAATAGAGAGTATAGTTCCCTAACTCAATAGACAGCTCAGATTTAAATTTAGTAAGAAGCACTTTTAGAAAATACTTCAGGATTCTTGGACAGGCAGTTTTGTGCAAGTACTTCTGGCTATCAGTCATCCCTATCTCCTTAGGGATGAGGAAAGGATGTACCAAATATGACAAGAATAGCAACAGAGGACTGATACTGCTCTTGTTTCCAGGATGGGTAAGATGAATGCCATGTTCTTATTATTTGCCTCCATAAGTCATCTCCCTTTCTCTTTTTTTTTCTTAGGAGTTTTCATAAGGAGTGTTGATTTGCACCTTATATGAAATGGGCAAAATGTCATCACAGAAGTTCAGCTATTAAAACAAACCGGTAAGAGTTTTCATGCCCTTATTTCCTGATGACAGAAAGGACTTTGGATTTTATGCATAACAAAAGTTTTGGTCCACAATGGCCAGAAAATGACTTATCTTCTATATATTTGTTTCTGTGGCATTAGGTAATTCTGCTTTCAAGAAACACTTTCCTGTACACAAAAACACATCAAATCTCTAGTGGAGAACATCTCAAGAGAAATGTAATCTTACCTTAATAAATAGGTACAATAAATTGGCCGTTTGGCAGATCCTTGCCAAGCAGCGCAGGAACACTACGGGTGCTTGGAATTCACTCCTATTGTCCCCAGGCTGAATTGCTTTGAAAAAGGTCACATGAGGAGGAAAGGAAGTTTTGACTTTCACATGCCTGTTATTGCTAAGGAAACCACTTCCTCGCTATTCACATATTCAGCATGTCTCCAGTTTTGGCGCTCTGACAAATGACATCGTGCTACTGCATCGAGCAACAAAGAAGGGTGGAGAAGGCTGTTAGACAACTTGGAGTGTTTGAAACGCCAGCACAGCTTTTGTAGGATTGTCAAACTTCAAGCGGGCTCTGTGAGAGTAAGCAGGGTCCTTCTTTGTTAGCTGCAGGTGGGATACCTGGAGTTTAGAAATGTGGAAAAAAAGATTCTGGGCTACACCTCAGCACGCTCAGGTAGCCTGGAGGTTTCCTGGTTTGTAGCAAACAATATTCTTACACCTCTGTGGATACTGGGAGACAAGTTTTCTGATACAAATATACCTGAGTTATTCTCTCTGCAGAATTTATTTCAGCTTTCAAGTACATACTTGCCTTTTCTTTGGCATTTGGATATCAGAAACCGAGTATGCTTGGTATGTGGTGATTTCATTAAAAGTACTTGGATTTGAATTTTGGGCCTGCAGGACTTTTCCCATTTTTCTGACTTCTTACTCAAGAAATTAAAAAGATCAACAAGCTACCGTTGGTCAGGACTGAGAATCTCTACCAATGTGGGGATATTTTGAAGAGGACTGATGCAAAATTTCTTTGAGGTAACGTATGTGCAAATGCTCTGACAAGAGCAAAATATATCATAATTAGGCTTATTTCTACTCAGAGATAAAAAAAAAAGTCTAGTATGCTTCAGGATACAAGTGGGTTTCTCTGTAAATATATGATAGCTACTGACATTACTTGGGACCAAGTGCGAGGCATGCACAAATCATAGGAATTGAACAGCTAAAGCCCTGCTAAATTTACTGACAGGCTACTGAGCTTTGGATATGTCAAGATCTATTTGTCTAAACATTATCTGTAAAGACAACATAATGTAGTGAACTGAGCCTGGGACTGCGGAGGCCAGAAATCAATATTCTAATCTTGGCCCTGCTTCAGATGCATTTGGTGGCTCCAGAGTAGTTGTTTAATCTCCCTGCGTGCTTACCAGAGATAAAACAGTTCAAATATAATAAACTCCACTGAAGAGTTGTGCAGATCAGTTCACAGCTTCTGTGCACTTCTTTGAAGACCTGAATTGTTATATAAATATTACCATTACACACAGGACTTTGTCTCCAGGAAAATACATACCGTGTATCTTAGGATTTGAAATGTCAGGTCTGTTTTCTAGCAGATGCCCTTGCCCCATAGAGGCTTGCTGCACAGCCTGGTAGAAACCCAGAAGCCACAAGGGTATCTGCCATAATACTATCTTTTTCCCCGTCTCCCCCCCCCCCTTTTTTTTTTGTTTTTCAATCTGTTAAAACAGAATTACTTAAAAAATGATTCAGCTGTTTTCTCTCCAAGAACATCCTCATTTTCATTCTGTCCATGGCAGGAGTAGACCACACCTCAGGAGTAGACCACACCTCAACAGAACTTATTTGCTGAATGCAGAAATAACAAGAGAGAAGGACCTACATATGGCCTGTTGATTTAGGAAGAAAGATTAGAAAGTAGTTGTGATTTCTTCTGGGTTCAAAAACCCTTGAAAATGTGCTGGGTTTCCACTCGTTTTCCCCAACATCATAATTTCTGAGTGATCATCTTACTAGAGGCTTAGCTGAGCTGCACTCATTCCCAAGGATCTCAGAAGGGTTACCTGAGGTGAGACAAAAGATAAGTCACAATAACCTTCTTCAGCTTTTAAAAAACAAACCCAACAAACCAAAGAAATTAACCAACCAACACCACCACAGTTTACCTTCTATAATATAGGAAAGGAGAGAAATACTGGCTGTATCTCTCTTCCATGCAGCAAATGACTTCCACCTACAGAGGACAAGAGCACACATGTCCTAGCAAATTGTGCACTTTTCCAGCCCAAAAGAGCAGCAGTTTATGAATTGTTCTTGAAACTGTTTATGAGAGGACATTTTGAAATTGCTAAGAAAAAAGCAAGTGCTAAAACAATAGGGTCTACATTTACTGGTATGTATATTTGTTTTACAGTCATTAGTCCTTGCAGAAACGAGCCTAGTACCTCTAATGGTCCAGGGTTTTGTCTGCCATACTAGTCAGCCCTCATGATGCTTTTACAATACAGCTGTTAGCACAGGCTGTAACTGGCAGGTGGTAGCAAGGTTTTGTGTAGCATTAGAAAAAGCTGGAAATATTTGCTATATTTGGTGGGGAGGCAGCAGGGAAAGCAGTGCATGGGAGTGATGCACTTGTGGCAGCTGGGGTTGCTAAGCACACAGCCTGCTATGCCGCTAAGCAGGCAGGACCAGGCAGAGCCATTAAGTCTGGAACCAGCTGAGTATTTAATAAGCTGCGTGCTACCATACATTTACATATCTTAAGTTGTAGTAAAGCCATAGGAGTAAAGGGTCAAAAGTGCAGGGCTGGAGGGCTTAAAGCCCATGCAGACTGCATCGTATCCTGTCCTTAGTGGAAAAACGACTTGGGGAGGATCCAAAGAAAACGAGCCTCATTCCAACCAAGAAGAAATTTAAAGGCCAAAAGGCAAGAATGTAAAAAAATGTAAATGTAAAAAATAATTTAAGTTATAGCACATGTGACCACGTCTGGCAAAACTCAATTATACAAAGGTTGCAGGGTATCTACGTGCCCCCAATAAACCAAGTGTAAGGAGTTCAGTGGAAAGGAAAATGAGATTCCCCTCCTTTGTGGCTTACATGTCTAAAAAAACCAATTCTTTGCTTGCCCTATCTATGTGCTCTTAAGATTCTTTCACGTGAATCATTTGACACTTATTTGTTTCCCAGTGTGCATATTTAATTCTATCCCTGGGCATATCACCCTGAAACTGCCAGAGACAAGAGATCTGTCTCAAGCAGGGACTCTCTGCAACAGGCTCTCTGTCCAATCTCTATTCTCTCCCTTGTTAGCAAAGGCTGTTTCAATACAGAGCTACCAACTTCAGACAGGCAAACCCATGTCCGATTTCACTTCCTCTAGCATAATCACAGACTTCAGTGACTGTGCTTTTTGCTTTTCATTTATGCTGACGTAACTGAGATTGAAATCTGTCCCACAGCAAATATTTATCAGAGCATATCAAAGGAAAAGCAGACCAGAAGAGAAACAAGCAAAACAGCGAGTGCCATTAAACTTTGCCAAGTTAGATTTCAAAGTCAATGAAAACCACCCCAGAGACACAGAGATAATATGTAGGACAAAGTAGAATGATGAAAAAAAAAAAAAATTCCAAACAGTGGTGTCCTACAGAACAGTTTTTAATTACTTGTAACTTGCAAAGATTAAGAAGTAAAACCCACACAGACCTAACAATATATGAACAAAGTCAATGATTACCGCTCTGATGGTTTTGTTAATGTCTTGGCTTTGATATGTATACCCATCCTGGCCACCTGCGCAGGTCAGGGACCCTTTCTACAGAGTACTGAGAAAGAAACAGGACAACATTCACAACTGGCTTTCTAAATGATATAAAATAATAGTATGCCACACTTTAATTAGATAATTAAAACTGTTGCTGCTTTGCTAGATGCCAAGGACACCCAGTTTCTTGGCAACAGACCTCTAATTTTCCTTCTTTGATATCCAGGTCACAGCCATTTGGATTAGAGGCTCATTTCCAGCAGCAGTGCACAGCAGGGATACACAACTTCCCGTCCTGCTGTTGGTATCTCCCTTAAGTTCAGCATCTTGCAACTACATTTATAAAAGCTGTTAAATGTTAAAGCCCTTAGAAAGGGTAATTTCTCAGTATTCACAAAGGTCAGGGGACACATAAGCATATTTAAAAATTAGCCAGTCCTGTGCAACACCAGCAACTTCTTACACCATGGCAACAAAATCTCATCCTGTTCTAGCTAAAGAACATGACTGAAAGGGTAAAGCAATAGAGAGAAAAACTCTTTCATCCCTAGCTCTCCAGCTTCTTCAAGAATAAGGTCTACCCCATCCCTGACCATTTGCTATCATTCCTCCTTATGAGGAAGAGAAACACTGTCCTAGGTCTACCAGATTAGGTGAGGAAATCACATACCTTTACTGAGGAGCATTGATTTGGTCAGCTAGCTGGAAGAAAAGCATGTAGCCCTGAATGCTGGTACCAGTGCTTTGTCTGGGCTGATGTCATTTGAACTGAGGAGCAAACTGCAGCCTAAGGATTATCAAATGTCATCAATTCATATGCAAGGCACAGTTCCTCATTCCCAGACCCACATGAACTGGAAAGGCATAACAGCCCATGCATGTTTTTGAAAAACAGACTTTTTCATGAGAAAGGAATACAGAGCATGCTACCAAGGGGCAGGTTAGACAGAACAAATCATACAGACCAGATGGTAGTCACACTGCTTAATGCACTGTTGGAAGGTGCCCAGCTAGTCTGGTGATGAGCAACAGAAGAACCTATAGAGGATACTGCCCTTTGTCAAGTGCCAGAAATTTATTACATTATATTCCTGAGAACAGATGAGGTGAATTAACCACAGCAGACATTTACTACTCCTTCTGACATCCCTGAGATCCTGTCTGCAGTGCTGCTGTGGTTGCCAGTACCTTTTTGGCTGACGTGAACCCGTTCAAAGCTAACCAAAAGCCAACTGTTGGGGCTAGTGTAGTGCCAAGCCCTCGCCAACAAACTACCCAGCAGGTGTATTAGCTTATGCTTGACGATACCCTAACCATCACTTGGGTTTTGGTCAGCTTGGAGAGTGACCAGAACAGGCTTACATCCACTCAAAAAACACAACAAATAAACAGAGCTCAACAAAGATGGTACGCCAGGTGTTACAGCAGTACTGGTTAAATGCTCCTCCCCCCAGCTACTTCAAGCAAAGGAAATGTTACTGGGAATATGCCTTCCATAGAGAACCTAAGCTGACAAAGCTGGTATATGACAAGATATTTGTATTCTTGTGTACAGCTTACATTCAAGCCTCTGTATCACCATTTAGCTCTACAAAGCATCCTTGAAAACATCCATGAAAACAGTGCTGCAAAGTGAATTTTGGCTGCATGCATGGAGATCATATTTTCTGTTTCCTGAATTTGGTCTTCCACTATAGACAGGTGAGGTAAATATCACAAATATTTTGGATGTATTTTTGAAATGAAGCTATGCCAATACTGCCCTTCCACCCCCCCAAGAACAACCTGGCCCTGTAGGATTGGTATCTTATGCCCAGATGGGGAAATAAATCAATTTTTACTCAAAGAAAGGCCACTTCTTTCTACTAATAAGCACATCAGAAATACTGATACTGTTTTATGAACATTTGATGATGAGGTAGCAGCCATTTCCTTCATGATCTTCTGTTGAACAATGTATACGAGTACTCCAAGGTTATGTTTTGATTGTGCCATCTTCTCTTGAACCATCACTTTCCATATGCAGTCATCTGCAACATCTAAGAAACCATGGATCAAAGTAGAGAGCAGGTTAGACAGTCTTGGCAACCCTACCATTCTGTATGTGCTGACTAAGTAACATGGCTTATTGTAGCAGGACACAGGTACCAGTAGTTTAAAACCCTAATTTAAGATATTTTTATGTTTATTTGGGCTATCTTGTAAAGGAACAATCCACAGAATGATGGCATGCAATTTGAACATACTAATCTGTCCAGAGAGGAAACCTAGGCACCAGCTGAAATCCATAAAATTATTACAGTTTTTAACAAGAAACATTATATGGTTGAGTCAGAAAATAGAAAAAAACCCCAAAATCTTAAGAAAGAAACTGTAATAGAAGTAACATAAAACGTCAGTTCTTTTTAAAAAAGAAAATCTCTGCAGATGTTTCAGACTTCATACAAGATCCTTGATAAGAGTAATTTTTTTTTAGTACAGCTTGTTTTCATCACTTAAATTTTAGATAATTATTTTTCTAGTTAATCAGCATCTCTCTGTCTCAGGTTTAGACTTAAAAGGTGCCTATCACCTTTGCATTTGAGTAGTAAAGACTGCTGTTATATTTATTGATATCATGACCGTCTTTATTACTACCCCAGATACTACATCAATATCTCTTCTGTTAACTATCCACATATACTTTGAAATATTGTAGTCTACTTTGTTGTGGTCTCTGGTCTGATGTCAGTGCATGGAATTACAGCTCCTCAGACAGCATTACATTTCCCTTTTCTGAGAAAAGTTATTCCCTTTACTCCATTATTTCCCCTGACAGTTACTTCAAGCCTGTGACAATCACTTCGTCGTAACTCTTCACTGCTCTTTGGTGGTACATTGCTGACAGTTAGCAATCTGTTATCACGGGCTGCTGAAAAGACTCTGGATTTTCAAAATTCGGTTTTTAATTAATAGGTATTAATCTCTCAAATCATCATGGCAGCAGTCTCTGAAAATGGGCATGGAAAGGAGTTCCTCTAATATACTGAAACTCAGGCTCCCTTTAATGTAGAATTATGGCATGCTAACCATGTAACCTACTGACCATTCTCTTTCTAACCAGAAAAGGAGGATCTCCTGACTTCATAAACGTGTAAAAGATTACACATATATCCATGTCCACTAGAGAACTATGTCCAGATTTTGTTTTGAATGTAAATGTAGCAATGCCACTCCACAAAGAAGTACAGACCTTTCAGAAAGACAAAATCAACTGTCATTGTCCTCCAGTGAAAATTGGAGATTTTCATTCTTCCTCAGCCAACATTTCTTCATGCTTAGAGTCCCTCACTTGCAAGTGCATCACCAAGAGGTTTTACATGCTCCTCCCCAGCATAAATCCCATAATGCAGCTCATCATCCTTTACAGTAGCCCAGGCCATTTGCTTGGTGGAGAACCTTGCTGCCCACTGTCCTGCTTTGTTGACAACAATGACACCCCCCAGGCCCCCAACTCGTGTCTTCATGTAGTCTAATGCAGTGTCCGCTGCCACCTCTGGTGACATTCCTGAAAAGAAAAACAAGATCATTTCATGGCATCTGTCCTGACACCAGTTTTAAAACTCCCTTCAAGTTTCACTGCTCCCCACAGAGCCAGTCAAATCTAAATTCTTTTTGAACTAAATCAGCAAGAAATTTCCAGTGTATCAAAGGAACTGTTTATAGGAAGGCTCTGGACAGTGCCATCAAGCACTTCAGTCATCATCTATGATGTTCCAAGTCCACTGGCTGCAACAGAGCTCAAAGCACATTACTTCACATTGTCATAATTCATCAAAACCAGAAATCAGCATCACTCCTTCTGAAACTTCTGAAACTATCAGGCAAGATGAGGTCTCAAAGTACTAGACATCAGACAAAGGACTAGCACAGCATCTTTAGCTTTTCATTACTCAGTTTGTATTAACAGGAATATTTTCTAAGTAAATCAAATTGAATGTGAACATCATACACACAGACCTGTAATAGCTGCAAGATACCTGTTCACTACCAGTTTAAATATACATTCAGAAATGCAGTTGGCTTGGCCTAATTGCCCTAAGATATAAACCCCCTTGGTAATGTTATGCAGCTTAGGTTACAGAACAAAAACTGACCTTCATGCTTTCCCTGCAAATTTTGAGTTAAAACCAAATAAAACCATCAGAGTCAGAATTATTCACAGCACTGGTGACTGACAGGATAAAGCTCCTTTCTCTGACGTACGGGTGACACTGTGACTATTCAAGTCAGTGGCACTGTCTTCAAAGGGTCAGTATTTCACTGTTTGATTTTTCACCAAGACAACAGCTGCCACCATAAGACAAAGATTCCAGCAGCTGCTAAGAATGGCAAAGCAATTCACTCCTAAAATATGGAAGTAAATTTTGCAGCATTCATCCAAAAGAAGATATTTAGTAAGTGAATTACTGAATAGCTAAACAGATTTATGAGAGCTCTGTAGTTGTTCTCAAATATGCAACTTTAGTTCAAGGACTCAAAAAGTTACAATAACTTGAGGGTTTGTTTTCAGTGCCTTCATGGAAATGTTTTGGGGGGGGGCAGGGGGAGTCTATTGCTGACGTATTTTCCTGGCAGCTGAGTTATACTTCTGGGCAGGATGAATGAAGGTAAAGCAAGCACTGGCAGGGTGAACAAGTGCAAACCAATTAGACATGAACACGTGTGGGTTCATTTTTTTTTATTTTTCTCTTTTTTTGTATAAACTTTTTAATTTGAGACTCATTTGCCTTTCATACTGATTAATCACAAGCACAGATACCTGCTATCAATGCATAGGTTTTGCAATGCAGTTAACTTAAAGCCAGAGAAGAAACTGGTTTACACAGTTTAGACTAAATAGTGCTTAGAAGGCTCTATTCACAAATTGAATAGTCAGAGACATGAAATGGAGAGTAAGGGAGAGCATAATGCATTAGAGCTTTGGGAAATAATCTGTAGGTTGTATTTTATTCTGAAACTGTCATATCAGAGATTTAGAGAAATGCACCAATTATATGCAAACAGCTCTATAAAGCATAACAAAAATATTCTCAGCTGTCATTTGTCTCTCTATTTACTGCTTCTCCAATGAAAGCGTAAATTGAACATTTTCCAACTATTTCCAGTTTTGGCTGATCTCAAAGCAAGTTACACTGTACTGCCCCGAAGCTACAGTTTTCTAAAAATAATGGTGATATCTATATTAATGATTCTTGAACTGCATGCAGTACAAGTATGTTGTCTGGCTATGTTTATAGGCTGTAACATAATCAAGGGTTTAGATGACAGACTAACTCAGGAAGGTAAAGCTCCAAAGGGTCATCCCACAGTCAGATTATATTACAGTCACATAAGACATACTGTGTCAGCTGTTTACCACATACCCACCCAGTCAGTTTAGTACATTTTCCAAAACAAAATGAAAGTTGAAATCATGGTTAAAAACTCTTAAAAGAATTTCTGTTGCTGTAATCAGAGTTGTTAAAATAAAAACCTTTATAGTTTATTAGAAAGGCAATATCCTGTATCTTCTAATTTCAGCTCCAATTATGTCTCTAGCCCTCCCCCTTACTGCTTCCTTAAATGTAACTTACTTTTACTTGTTTTCTATTTTCTGTTCACAAAATTTTAGTTTATAATTGGGAAAAACTTATTTAAGAGAACTTCAGTTAAACAAAGTAGACAGTAATGTCTTCAATGTACACTGATCTAAAGCATGATTAAATATCAGGCAGCAGAGATAATTCTGTCCAATTCAGCTAGTTTAGCTTTATTAATACCTTAGTGTTTTATTTTGTTTTTAAAGAGAGGTGACCTATCCACATATCCCTGGGACCAACTCTTCTGACACCTGTTCTAGAATGGTAGTAGATAAATTGAAACCTGCATTATCAACATTTCCTATCTTCATTATTTCAGCTTACAGGAAGTTTGGAATATACCTTGCTCCATGTGATAGAGGATCAGTCGGGCTAAGACCACTTTCATAATGCTCTCCCCATGTCCTGTGGTTGAAGTGGCACCAGAATGGTTGTCAGCATAACCTCCACTTCCTTTTCAGAGGGGAAAAAATAAAAAGAATAAATTCTATATTCTAATTCTATAATATAATTTACAAGCCCTTCATTGTTTTCATTGTTTAAAATAGGAAGTGAACATTTCATCCTAAAGGTTCATTAGCTTTCTGCATTTCTGGGAGCAAAGTGTCAGTAACACTTCTTTCTCATTTCTGCCTGTTTGAAAAGTTAAATACATGGAAGACATAAACAACTGTGGGAGCAAGTCAGTTGCCAAGTTGAGAAAGACTACTGATCTGCTTGTGGTACAAGAAGCAGAAGCAGGCCAACACTCCACAGGGATGAGCAAAAATATTTTCCAGAAGAGCAAGGGAGGGTATATTAAGGACCAGCAAGATAGTGATGGGATACAGAATGCCAGGCCACACAACATTACCAGCTGAGAAGATGTGAAGGAAGATCTTGTGAGGACATTGGTGAACTGAATCAAAGTTTGAGAGGAACTTACCCACAACAGCTTGAAAGAGATTTGAAGAGCCTGGGCTCTAGTCAAACCTCACAAAGCACCCCTAAAGAATCTTCCAAGTCCTCACCAGAAGTGGAGTGTGTCTTTTTTTTTTTTGTTAAATTCCCCTTCCTCCCTTTTTTCTTGTCCCATCCTTGTTTTGCTGGGACATTCCACACCCTGTTCTCCATCAAGCTTCTGCTTGCTCAATACCCATGTTTCTAGCACATCTCCTAAGAAAAATATTTCCCAGGAGCTAGAAAGAAACATACCACAGCATTATAGACAAGGTACTGGGGGAGGGGAAAGAGGCCTTAGAAGAGCAATGAAAGTTTCTTCCCTTCTGTACTTTCTTGATCAGACCCTTTCAATGGACCCTGATTTACATGTGGAAAAACACTGCCACAATCAGTCTGTCAAAGCCCCTTTACTAAACCATCTGATGTTCAAAAGCACAGCTTTTCTGTTTCCAAGCCTGCAGATGTCTAGTGAGACCAAAAGTTGCAAGCAGTATGCTCAACAGTGCCCAGTTTCACTTGTCCTTCACAGAACCACATCCCAAACTACAGCAACCCTGAACAATACCTACACAAAAGGGTATTTGCAGTCAGAAAGCTGCAGCCAGAAATGAAGCTGAAAATATACTCAAATATATTTTGACTATATAGTCAATAGTAAAAATGCAGAGGGTACCAAAACGTTAGCAACCTTGTGTGCAAAAGAAAGATAATATTAGTTTCATAATAATCATATACGGCCAACAGCAGTGCTACCTGAGTTCGAAACATGTTTTACTAATAATAATTATTTTCCAAATCCCAGCTGTATGGCAGAACCCTAAAGTAATCAAATGGCAAGTCTGTCACATGAGAGGAAGAAGTCTGTGGAAAGGATTTCAAGTGTCTCTTTATACTTGGATAAGAGGTCTCTTAAAATATTTCCTTTATTCCACAACAAATCTATTAGGCTCTGAGGTAGTCTTATCAAGGCTCTCTAAGAACAGGAATTTACTCAAAGTTGCCAGTCACTTTATAATTCTCACTCACTGATATAACAAATAGTAATTGCAATTACACCTACTTCCTTAAAGTATCAAGAAAACAGCATCTTAATATAGAGCAGGCTACATTTTTTGACTTAGTTGAAAGCACAGATGTGAAAAACAAGAGCTTTATCAGAATCAACAGAAAGGAAACACAGGAAAAAACTGTTAATATTTGTGAAAGAACAGAAAAGAAATTTCCATCCCCATTTTCCGTACAAAAAGAAAGTTTTGGATGACAATAATAATGACAGCACTACACCTCTACTCCCAATCCTTTCTTGCAATCTGCATGCTGTAAGAAGCTTGAGCTTTGATACATCTGAATGTTAGATCTCCATTTCAGACGTACTAGTATTTATGTATTTATGTTCACTTCACTAATGAAAAGGAGAGTGTGCAATACTTATTTTTCTTTCTTTAAATGAGATACTTCCAAAAAATGAAAGGCAAGATCCCACACCCCATACCTATGCATGCTGTGTCACCAACACGGCCAATCAGTTTATTAGAGAGTCCTCCAGTGGATGTTGCACAAGCTACATTGCCTTCACTGTCTATAGCAACAGCACCGACTGTTCCAAGGTCTCTGCCAAGAAAAACAGTTCACAAAATTAGACAGAATTAAAGCATACCTGCCAAAGCATGTTGCATTTGTTTTCCAGGTAGCTTTAAAAAAGATTACTACAAAAGAAGTACTGCTCATCATACAGCTATCTTTGCTATGCTTCTCCTTGCAAAAATAACAAGCAATACGTAACAATTCTCACTTTATATTTAACAGAGTAGAAAACACTTTTTTTTTTGATGACTTGTTTACCTTCATAGCATGGAAACTTTGACTTGGGGAGGAAAAACACACAAAGCAAAAGCACACAGGGTAGAAATACTTCTAGTCATCATAGTTCTGGAGTAGTTTTTTGGCTGACACACAAACTGACACACAACTTTCCCCTAAATGGCAACTCCAAGATGCAACAATTGGCTCCACTGTCTCAAGAGGAGGTTAACCGGAATTATTAATGACAATGTACGTAAATAAGTGAATAGAGAAAAGGACAATAATGTTATGCATGTACTGAATCATTTCCTTCCTGTTCCTCCTCTTTCCTCTTCCTTACTCCCCCTAATGTTTGAATGCTACAAAAAAATAAAAAAAGGTTATTTATGTGCCTTTCAACTAGTACTGCTCACAATGCATCATTAATACATATTTTCATCTTTGTACTCTGTAGCTAAGCAATCTTGAGGTTTAAATCACTTGGCCAGTAGAATCTGCTGAAACCGCACATCACTTTAGAAATCTTCATGCACTGAAGAAAACAGAAGTCTCAACTATTGCTTTATTTCTTCAGCACAGAAAAGACATATACAACAGACTGCTCAAAATATGCATGTGTAGTCATGTTTGGAGAAAAAAAAGCCTGTTGTAACTTACTGTAACAGTTGCTGCACTGAGAAGCAAGACACTAGTGAGAAGCAACAGTTTAAATATCCACATATTCCAATCTTGGCATTTCACATAGGAACATAAACCACTAACAAAAAAAAAAAAAAAAGCATGATCTGAATCCCTTCACACGAGAAAAGAATTCATAATAATCTTTCAACAAACTACCCAACAGGCAACTGGAACAGGAATACCTTTGGAAGTTGCCTGGACACTGGTTAGGGTTTCTCTACAGCTCTACAAAATCTCAGTTAATTAAGTCAGACGAAGTCCTTGTGTACCCTGAAACCCACAGTTACTTTCTCAGAAAACCAACTTCCTGTTCGCTCCTGCTTATGTAAAATATCATACTGTCAGTCCCTACACTTCATTCACAGCAATTCAAAGCTGACTGATGAATCACAGGCCTTACAAACTGCTCTGACATTTATGTGGATATGGACCTCATCTCAAACTGATATGATGGTGCAGATGGGCTTCCCACCCATCCATCTGTTACAAATGATTTGCTGAAAAGAACATGAGTAAATTCAGTACTCTCTTGCATATTCATGTGGCACCCTTCAACCAACTAAAGTTACATCCTCCTCAGAAGTTAAGAAAGGTGCATCCAGATGTATATTTTCCTAGGTAAGTGTTTACCTTAAGCAAATGTGTGAATAAAAGCACACAGATCACACAGGCAGCAGCTATCTGTTTTGGTATGAGAGCACAACTGTTGATAAATTCCAAAGTGGGTGTGTGCAACATACCTTATCTTCAGTGGAGCAAATAAACAACTATACTTTATTTCTTACTGCCACTTTAAACTTTTTAGTGTAACCTTTTCTTTGTTCATCTTCAGAACAAAGGCAAAGAAGATATAAACAGGTTTTTTGCAGGGACAGTTGACTCCAAAATATTAACAAGGCAGGCAAAACTGCCTAAGTAGAGATATCATACTATAATGCTCTATTTTTAGTTATTGACAGTAGCAGAAACCTCAGCAAGTACCTGTGGTATACCAGAGGATGCTATTAGGGATTTTTTCAATCAAGAATTATTCTTATATACTGCATATACTGTGATACAAAATATATTAGTTGGATTTATTCATTCCCTCTTGCCTAAATCTTTCATTATCCAGTACACATGAAGTGCCATATACTTACCCTACCCCCATTCAACTAATAAGGTATCTGCTATTTGTCTCTTAGCCCTGCATCAGTAGTAGGGTCTTCTGTTGATTGCTGTCAGGGTCCTTGTTACTTAACACCTCCTCGAGTAATTCATGCAGTGCGATCCACAGAGGGGCTGGGAACCCGTTTACTACAGGCGGACTCAGCTCCCTTTCTGTGGGGTTCTCAGGCAACCTCCAGTAATTCTTATCAAAGGTATGGCTAGAATCTTTGGAGTGAGAGACTGCAGATAAATCAAACCACACCTTGTTCTCAGCAAAAGGCGTGCAAGTTGGAATGTTGTACATGCAGTGGAATCCTGAGCCTTTAACGCAAATGAATGCAGTCTCCCAACCAGCAGAAGAGAAAGGTATCTCTCATGGAGACACCAGACTTTGCCTGGAAAGCCTATGAAACCCCACGGTTTACAACACTGTGAGGACCAGAGCACTGGAAGTTAAGTACACACCAACCTTCAAATTCCCAGTATGACCTGGCATTATGTTGCCTTTGACTAACACTACTTCACCTTCTGTCTGTTTGCCTCAGGCAAGTTTTCTGCGTAATCACTGTGGACATAGAGAAAAAGAACATTTCACATGTGATACAGAAGGAATTGGGCTTGCATAAAAAAGACCTGTTTTCAACTTTGTGAACTTGTGCTGATGTTTTGGGCACTGGTTTTCAGAAAAAGAACAGGGTGGCCAAGACAAGAAAAAGTTTTAAGCCCTTCAGAGACATACAAGTTTTCTATTATCAGATATTCCAGAGCAAGACAGTGCTGAAATTGAAGATACCTAACACTGTTATCAGAAAAAAACCTTAAAAAATTAAGCAGTTATGAAGACTCAGATGCCATACCATTCCAACTGATATGTTTAGGAGACCAAGTGACAGTAGGGGCTACACCATCCTCAAAATTCTTCATAATGAATGGTAATACCACACAGTTCTTGGACAGACCATGTATCAAAAGAAAACTTCTTATGCGTAAAAGATGAACTATGACTGAGACCTTATGGACAAGGAACAACATCACTTTGTTTGCCATATTTACTCTTGCCACATTAATTTGTTTTTCGTTCTAGTAATTTATTGAAAGTAACATATAGCTTGTAGTTTTGTTTCACAGTCTTTAATTAACATGCCCACAGAAGAAATTTACTCCTTTTGATCTACAAATTCAGTTCTACTTCTCTCATTACTACTATTTAAAAACACAGATGAACAGCACATAGTACAGGATATACGTAATGCAATACAGTGCTTTCCTGCACCACAACCACTGACATACAAATGGAAGCTCAAAGCAATTTGGTATTTATCCCTACCTCACAGGCATAAACCCCATTTTTGACACCTCATGTTTTTTATTCCTTTACTGTCCACCTCACTTTCCTCTTTACTTTATATGAGACTGGCTTGTTTTTCAAGCGATGTTCATTTTGCTGTTGGCCAATACCATCCAGTAGCATCTCACTTCATACCCACCACTGAACTACTTGGTCTTTTTTTTTCATTCCTTTTTGTAACCAATAGCCACAATCAGCACTCCAATGGAGTTACTGGCCAAAATTTGATGTCATTTAACTACCTAATCCAGTTTAAAGACAAATCTGATCATCTACTTAACCAAGATCAGCTTTCTTAATTTTTTTTTTTTATGGACTTGTTTTGAAATGTGTACTGGAGATTTTTTAAAAATCACAGTTCTTCCATGGAAAAGAACTATACAAAATTACACCTGCTGTTTTTTAAAGCTGCTCTATGCACTTCTGTAGTTGACAATTTTAAGAGGAATAACAAGTTCTAACCTATGCTATGTAAAAGTGATAAACAATCTCCTTAAGTAGCAACAAGTTTATTAGAGTTTGTTCCAGTCATTTAAACTTGAGCAAATTCATTGAAAGTTTGATTTTCCAGTACTTTCACTGAAGACATGCTGTAAAGACTGTATCAAACCATGTAACATTTGGAATACAGGTCTTCAAGGGGGTTTGTTTGGGTGGTTGGGGTTTTTTTGGTTTTGTATGTTTTCTTGGTTGGTTTGTTTGAGGGGTTTTGGTTGGTTTTTCTTGGTTGTGGGTTGTGTTTTGGTAACCAGATAGCACAAATGAAATTACATGAATTTAAGAAAAATTGTACCTACTTCTGAAACTCTCCAGGGTTGGAATCCGGCTCAAGGTTCTTCTTCCACCTCTCACGGGATCTCTCTGTTATTAGTTTCTCCCCTGGAACCTCAGGAATACCCATAGCCCGAGCAAACAGGTGTGCACCCTGATCAGTCAGCAGCATGTGCTTTGTCTGCAGAAGACAGACAAGAAGTTCATTGACAAGTCTTGTTTTATCTTGTACTGAGCAGCTCTGTACAATCACTCTTTATTTTTAGGTGTATCCACACAAAGAAAATTCCACATTTTATTTTTAAACTTTCTAGATTTCTATATCCATATCCCCTTCCACTATAGCTGAAAAAAATGTCAGCTCTCCAAAACACAGATACAAACTTTCATCATTAGTAGAAAACTGCATTTATCTACTTCACACTTACTATAATGGGAAAAGAAAAACTGATAAATTTGTTATTTTGCTAATTTGTATGCAACTTCTTTGTACTGTTTCCAGTCAATCACCAGATCACTACATAGCTAACTGTTTAGTCCAGTTAACTAAGGGATCTAGGATTTTACTTAGAGGAATGGTAAATAAATTCCTGTTCCCTTTAAAGGCATTTCACACAGTATTATAACCAACAAATGTAAATATCATATAGTGAAGTGTTTCTTAACATCAATGGAATAATTTTAATTTAAACATTTCCTTCAAGTAGCTGCTATTCTTACAGACTCAGAATTTCAAATTTAAGAATAGAATACTGTTCTAATGGGCTCGACCAAAATACATTTGCTCTCTTCTAATAACATTTGCAAGTTCTATTTGGATTCCTTTATTTACAAAGCACTTTGACAAGAGTTTAATTCAACAACCTTAGTTAATCCCATGCTTCAAAATCTGTACAGCTTGGTTAATTCATATGTTAGAGAAACCTGCCAGATAAATTTGTTTAATTAATCCTTAAACTGTAGTAGTAGCTCTAAAATCTGGTTTCTTTCATTTGGTTGGGTTTTTTTTAAAATCTATGTTAAAAAATAAGCATCAACTTCTTGTACAACTGCACTAATTTATCACTTATTTGCCCACTCATCAGAGCCTGGGTAGGTTTGGGAGGAGCAATGGTCTGACTAAACAGCATGGAGCAAATTTCAGAGCACAGCACCCAACTTCAAGCAAGTTCTTACATCCATGCAGCAGCAGAGGCACCAGCTGAGGTCCAAACAGTAGAACCACATGATGCTGGAGGCAGCAGGCCTGCAGAGCCTTGCAGAGCACAAAAGTGGTACATATGCAGCTCTCAGCCAGAAGCAAGGATGGCATTTCTGTGTCATGCTACATTCTACAGGACATTTAGACTCTCAAAGCTTTGGATTATTAAGATGATTATTAAGAAATCACCTTCTGTTGGATTTCTAAACCAATGACAGTAATCACTACCATGACCAACCCATAGCACTGCATTGTTTATTAAAGGATTCCAAGCAAACATCTTCCCAAATCAGACACTGATCTCTACTTAAGCCTATCACTAACCCCTTTGGACAATTACAGAGGTGGGAAATGTGGCTACACTTCAGAAACATTCCTGATGATGTGGCCCTGAATCAAACATTTTCTAAAATTTAAATGCCTTTTAATTAATCTTCAATTCATGAGAGTATTGCTTTAGGGAACAAGAATAAAGGTTTAAGGGACTAAGTCCTCTGTATATGTGAAAGAGTGGACATCAGGCTTAGCTGCTGAGTGACATCACTGGACAACTTAAGACCAACCTATTTCTAACAAAGTGTTCTTTGGCTTGAAAGCCAACTTCTTTGTGCAATACTGCCCCCCTCTGCCACTAACCCAATCAGAAGTACACAATCCAAAATTCAAACTAGTTCTGTTTTTTATTTGTGACTGTGGGGGTTTTTTGTTTCGTGGGGTTTTTTGGGAAAGACACTGAAATTTTCTTCTGTCTTCAGCAGGAAGATGCGTCCTCCATCACTTGATTTCTTCAGCAATTAAGGTTATATGATCCTTTAAATAAGATTTTTAAAAATACAGGTTTTTACTGTATTTTACAGCAACAAATTGAAGTTATTTCCAAAAACTTTTTCAAAGGATTCCTTCCCATATGCAGATTCAGATAACATACCTTCCTAAGCCACACAAACAAGAAATACTTGCATAAAGAGGAATAAGGTTCTATGATAGGGTTTTGTGGTTGTTTTTTTCCTTTCTTTTTCAGTCCTTACTGAAAGAAGTTGTCTTGGGGAGAACTGTGTTTGTTATTCTCTTCAACAGATCTTGTCAATCAAAAGAGTTGGTAGAACAACACAAAAGGATGTTTTTCCGTCTCATCTGTCCACAGTTTCATGAATAGGTTTGCTAACTTAAGAGTGCCTAATTTTTTTGGGAGACATTTTTATAAAAAGTAATTCAAAACGACAAAAAAAAAGAAAAGGGTTCAAGACATCTTACTAACAAGAAAAAATGCTGGCAAGTTTAGTTAATTTCATGGGAAATGGAGAAAATCCCCCAAATTTCTGCAGCTGACGTGAAATTCAGATCATCACCATTCTTTATTTAACAATTCTGGCAGTGCAGAGCACAGCAAAAATCCATCCCTTTGCTTTAAGAAGTCTGTGTTCTAAGGTAAATTCTCCTTTGTCTAATGTAAAGGGCTGTAAATATAGTAGGGGAAAACATACACAGTTCATGTATAGCAATAAATTAGTTCTCTAATGTTCATGAGAAGCCCATCTAATGAAGTGTTGGAGACAGGAGGGGTTACACCTCCTATTTGAAAAAAAAAAAATTCAATGTATCATTCCATTCATATTCACTACAAACAGGAATAATTCAACAGACACGTAACCATTTTCTCAAGAATTTGTAACATTACTTAACATAGTAAAAGACTCCACCTCTAGAACCTCGTGTGATCAACTGCACAGTAAAGGCTGAATAGAAATTATTCTGATGCCCTCCTTCTTTCTACTTGATGGGTTTGGACAAGTTTGAGCCCTGTGTGAAAGTGTCAGCACAGAGGGATAAATGTGTGCAAGAACAATCTCGAGGAGCTACTCTGGCCACCAGATGGAGCCCATACTGTTCCATAATATGACAGAAATACAATTACAAGCAGATGGGGAGGGTGTTTTTGGTTGGTTGGTTTGTTTTTGGTAACTGCATGTTTCAAAATTCTTTATGGCACTGAGGCATCTCAAAACCACTAAAAAATACTCACACATGCTTAAGACCCCAGGGAAATTATAGTCTTATTACCCATGGGTCACAAAGTTGAAAAAAAATTTAATTATGCACAGTCAAACAAAACACACTAGGAAATATACTGTGAAATAGCCTGGGTTGGTGTCCCAAAATTCCTGTCCAAGATGAACAGAAAAGCAGAATCAGTTGGTATTCCCTTTTATAATACCTTACGGAGAAGGTGCAGAAACTCATTTTGAGCTATATTAAGCAATTTAGGCCATTTACATTTGAACTTTGTCATCTACAGAGTGGGGTTTTTTTGTATCTAAGCAAAAATGTCAAGGTTTTAGGACTACACCGTTATACTTGGTCCTGAACAGTAGAATTTATGATTTTGTTTCAAATTTAGCCTCAACACTTCTGAGCATCAGAAGAAACACAATGACAAAAAGACCTTGTAAGAGACAATATGGAAAAAGGAGAGGGTTTTTTGTTTGCTGGTTTTTGTTTGTTTGTTTGATTTTAAAAACAGAGTTTGTAACGTTATGTTCTCAAAATCCAACAGTATCGTGTTGACTTAAATAGGATTTTGTCATGGACAAGAAAAATAAACCAGTGATTCTGGAATATAAAGTAAAACAACAGGCATTTAAAAGTTCTCTAAGAATAAAATTAAGTGAAATACAACACATTAAAGACATCTCTCTCCCAACCCTTCACTTACGTTCACAAATATTGAAAAATTTGGTTTTGTGAAGCTGTCTACCGCCTATGCTTACTATTGTTCTAGCTGAATGATGAAATAAAAGTCAGGTGAAGGAAAAAAAACTTATACATTTCAGTAATGTTAGAACTTGCAGTGAATGTCTTCCAGAATACAAAGTATTTATAATAAATATTTTAGTAAAATGTTATGATTTTAAAAGCAGGACTATCCTCCAATTATGGACACAAAAAAAGTCCTATCTGCCTGGGAGGCCACTGACAACAAATTAAATTTCAATCATCTTTATAGATCCCCAAAAGAGGTTTGGTTTCCTCAAAAGTCACTTAGAAAGGTTAAAGAAACATGGAAGTCTTCTTTGTTATTAAGTGGTTTTGCAAATGTGAACCCTTTTCAACAATGGGGCAGCTGCATGAGCAGGATGAAAAGTGTAAACTTCAAAGACAGTACAAACTCTTTGACCACTGCCAAGTAAAACAGATGCAAATATCACACAAATGATCTACTTCATCCTGACGCACACCAGTAGCCACCATGGCTGAAAAATAAGGTAAGTCTGTTGTGGCAAATACTAGGTGGGATTCTTAGTGGAGTAAGGTTGGACTGATATCTTGTAGAAGGTCAAGTAGTAATCATTTTGTTGCCCTGATAGATTTGATTCAGTCACCACCCAACAGAGCTACTGTTATCCTCTACTGCTGGAAGACTGACTTTGCACTAGAGCTACCATCTGGCAGGTCACAATGGAGAAGACTATCTGGAATAATGTAAGAATGCACTACATAGCCAAATACGTAACTGGGCCATTTAATCCAGTGCCATATCACTGCAAAGTGAACAATGTATTATCCAACTTTAATCTTGCGAGATCAAGCGGAAGACTCAGTGACAGCATAAAAGCCCTTCAAAAAACAAGTGAACAAAATAGTGGAACTACAGGAGACAAACATGTGTATTTCGATTTCTCCTTGAGTTTCCAGTTACACAGCATAATTTATGTTTCCTTAGAATATTACATTTTAAAACAAATATGTCTCAAAAACCCTTAAAATAAAAATGCTTCATGGTCATGACCATAGCCTCCCAACACTTTCATCTATTTCTCCCTTCTTTTCTGCTTTAAAGCCCTACACAAACATCACCATTGATGTGTATCAATATACAGAATGAAATTCTAAGGAAAAATGTGCTTCATAATCAGCATACCTTTTCCATAACAAGTCGAGCAAGTTTTATTGGGTTTTCTATGCATTTAACTGCAGATACGGCTCCAGAGTCTAAAGTTTTTCCATCCATTATAATGGCATCCATTTCTACTTCACCTTTTTCATTTAGAACAGATCCACAACCTAAAGACAAAAGAAAAAAAATTAGGGAGGAAGACAAAGAGAAGTCATTAAGATCTAACCACCAGGTGATTTAATTATTAGCTCTTACCAAGCAACTTTTCTCTTTCCCAGTTTGCTGACTTACTGAAAGTATCTCAGCAGAAACACTGCTGAGTATAACCACAAAATCCAGCCATTAAGAGAAGTCTCACAGAGTACATCTACTTTAAAATTGAGTTTTATTTTATGTAAGATGAAAAACACCTCCAAACACATCCCAAATTATATACTTGGTCCAAAAGTTAAAACAACAAACAATCGTGAACAGAATTCTTTATTCCTCAGATCACTTTGAGTGTACAAAACTATTCTACCTTACAATTCTTCCAAAGGAGGATACAACATAACCCAAAGAAATACTATAGCATTTGATCCTATCAACAGATCAGTGTCACAGAGCACTCCAAGAAACTGCCAAAATTAATGAAGCAGAATAAGAGCATCCACTCACTACTGTAGCAAAAGCCTGAAATAACTTCTTCATTACCAAATAAAAACAGTAGATAAAAGTAATTTTAAAAAATAAAAATCAAGGAATAAAACATTGGGTAGTTATTTTCTTCAATAATTATCAGTGCTATTACTAACCTAATTGAAAACTAATGAGATAAAAAATGAGACAATGCAAATAGGGTGGGTTTTTTAAGTAATGCCAATAATTGTATCACAGGGGAATAATAGGGTTTAAGTCATCAAGTGCACAAGCCTTGCTAATAAGGATGGTGAAGACTAAACCTAAAAAGAAGTAAAAAGCCAAACCAAAACATGGCAGATTTACACAGCAGCTCAGGTAGAAAGAAAGACCTGAACATTGCAGATAGCTAAAACAATTTTTTTTTTCTTTCTGTTAAACCAGTAGTAAAGCAGGTCAGAAAACAGAGTTAATAACTGACATAAGACTTCTATACCAGTGTGCTTCAGACCTGAATATATGAAGTCAAATCCCCTGTAACAAGAGGCAACAAAATCCTGTAATCCTCCTGCTGTAATCTCCAAAACTTCTCCTGCCACATACAGACAAACTCCCCAAAAGCTATTTTTTGCCTGTCTGCAACTGCATAAGCTATTCCAGAGTTCACGCCTGCGTCATTCACAATGTGTTAATTTCTAGACTACACTGATCTGTAAAGAGCTTACAGGTTAATTGCCTTGTGCCATCCGCTTTAACATAATTCTTCCAGCTCTTCCTTTATGCTGGTAAGGAGTAAGTAGTCTTTGTTTACTTAGGTAAACCCTGCCATACTCAAAATTTTAATTTCCTTTGACAAGATAGGCTTTCTAGCCCATGACCTTGAAATTCCCAATAGAACTAGGAGATTCTTAAGTATCAGTGACCAGAACCACAATTCCAAGGGAAACTCTACCAGGCCCCTTCATCACTGCATTAATAGTATCCTATGTCTATTGGACATCTCTCATGGGATACACTTTAGGATTTCCTAAAATTTCCTGAGCAGAAAACAGATGCAGTTTCTTTAATCAAAGGTGGCTTCCTACAAAAGCCTCCTCTTACAGCTGGTGAAGAGAGACAGATGCCCTCTAAGAACAATTCATCCCACCTGCCATAGAATCATAGAAATGCCTGGTTTGGAAGGGACTCTCCCCATGGGCAGGGATGTAATCCACTAGATCAGATTGCTCAGGGCCCTGCCCAACCTAGCCTTGAACAGTTCCAGGGATGGGGCATCCAAAACTACATCTTAGCTGTATAGTTACCTTTTTCATCCCACTGACCACCATGAAAGTCTGTACACTACAACAAGGCTAGATACTGAACTTCAGGATATCTCAGGTAGGATGAGAAGGATGGTTACAGACTGCCTTTTCACTGGCCTTTCAAAGCAAGGGGTAGGGAGGGACTACCAGCCTCCAAGGCCATGGTATCCATTGGCAGCAGTGCTGAAAAAATCCACATTTGGCTCACTTGTTAAGCAAAAGGCTAGGAAAAAACCAGAGACAACAGAAGACAGAAAATCTAAGGGGACATAAGTAACGGGCAACAGAGGTTAGCCAAATCACACGTGGGGTACTGAGTACTCCAATTCCCTCTATCTCCAGACAGACAGGTCTGTCCTGTGCCATGCAAAGGCTATGCAAGAAAGAGCGTGTGAGGACCACTACAGTGTCAGTTCTTTTATCTGTAGTATTCACACCAAGCTGATTAACGCTGCTAGCCAAAGAAATCACATGAGGGAGATATAACCAAGGCCCCTTCCTCATCACAACCAGAACTGGATGACTTCATTATGCTGCACAAGTCACTAGAATGGTAGTTTTAGACAACAGTATAGCTTCTGAGCCCTTCTACCAAGCCAACATTGAGATGAACCTACACAGAATGGCTACACCCTGTAATTCAAAAAAGGACACAACTTGATTGTTATGCCCATTCTTCCCCATGTCTCTTAGCAATGTCCATGTTTTCCTAGAAAATATTACAGCAAATCAGATTTTTTTCTTTTACAAAGATAAATACCACACAGTGAGTTTTAAAGAGCCACTCTTTAAAAGGGTCCTCTTCACATAGCTTTCACCTCATTTTTGCCAGCTATTGAGAGCAGCTGTATCTAATGAGTGTTAAGAGAATTAGATATCTGTGATTACCAGACTATTTGCCACACTTCGATCAGCACAGTCAAACCTGAACAAGTGCTAAAGGCCTAAGTGACCATGAAATAATAGAATTTTCAATACTTAGAGATTCAAGGAGAGCCAACAATAAAACCTCTACGCTGGACTTCCGGAGGGCAGATTTTGCTCTGTTCAGAAGTCTAGTCCAGAGCATACCCTGGGAAACAACCCTTGAAAACAAGGGGGTCCAGGAGGGATGGACGTGCTTCAAGCAGGGAGTTTTGAGTGCACAGGAACAGGCTGTACAGGTGTGCTGAAAGGCAAGCCGGCGGGGAAGACAACCAGCCTGGTTAAACAGGGAGATTGTGAAGGAAATCAGGGTCAAAAAGAGAGTTTACCGACTATAGAAGAAAGGGCTGGCTACTTACGAAGAATTTAGGAAGACAGCTAGATCATGCAGAAAGAAAATCAGGGATATAAAAGTGCAATTTGAAGTTAAATTGGCCACTTCTGTTAGGGATAACAAAAAGTCCTTCTATAAATACATTAATAACAAAAGGAGGGGCAAAGAAAACCTCCATTCTTTGATGGACTTGGAGGGAAACATAGTTAATAGAGTGAAGAGAAGGCTGAGGTACTTAACACCTACTTTGCCTCAGTTTTTACCAGTAAGACAGGTGGCCCTCAAGGCAACTGGCCTCTGGAGCTGGTAGACAGAGATAGGAAGCCAAATAGCCCCCTTGTATTCCAGGAGGAAATAGTTAGTGACTTACTGAGCCACCTGGATCCTCACAAGTCTATGGGACCAGACGGGATCCATCCTAGGGTAATGAGGGAGCTGGCAGAAGAGCTTGCCAAGCTGCTCTCCATCATCTTCCAACAGTCCTGGCTCACTGGGGAGGTCCCATATGATTGGAAGTTGGCAAATATCACCCCAATCCATAAAAAAGGCTGACCCTGGTAACTACAGGCCTGTCAGCCTGACCTCGGTGCCTGGCAGAGTTATGGAGCAGATCATCCTGAGTGCAATCACACAGCATCTACAGGACGGACAAGGGATCAGACCCAGCCAGCACGGGTTTAAGAGAGGCAGATCCTGTTTGACCAACCTGATCTCCTTTTACGATCAGGTGACCCACCTGGTAGATGAGGGGAAGGCTGTGGATGTGTCTATCTGGACTTCAGCAAAGCCTTTGACACTGTCTCCCATAATATACTCCTGGAAAAGCTGGCAGCCCATGGCTTGGACAGGGGCACTCTGTGCTGGGTTAAGAACTGGCTGGAGGGCCGGGCCCAGAGAGTGCTGGTGAACGGGGCTGCATCCAGCTGGCAGCCGGTCACCAGTGGTGTCCCCCAGGGATCAGTGCTGGGCCCAGTCCTGTTTAACATCTTTATCGATGATTTAGATGAGGGGATTGAGTCCATCACCAGCAAACTTGCAGATGACACCAAGCTGGGAGGGAGTGTCGACCTGCTGGAAGGCAGGAGGGCTCTGCAGAGGGATCTGGATAGACTGGAGAGATGGGCTGACTCCAATGGAATGAAGTTCAACAAGGCCAAGCGCCGGGTCCTGCACTTTGGCCACAACAACCCCATGCAGCGCTACAGGCTGGGCACAGAGTGGCTGGAGAGCAGCCAGGCAGAAAGGGATCTGGGGGTGCTGATTAACAGGAAGCTGAACATGAGCCAGCAGTGTGCCCAGGTGGCCAAGAAGGCCAATGGCATCCTGGCCTGCATCAAGAACAGTGTGGCCAGCAGGAGCAGGGAAGTGATCCTTCCCCTGTACTCTGCGTTGGTGAGGCCGCACCTTGAGTATTGTGTTCAGCTCTGGGCCCCTCAGTTCAGGAAGGATATTGAGGTGCTGGAGCGGGTCCAGAGAAGAGCAACCAGGCTGGTGAAGGGACTTGAGCACAAGTCCTGTGAGGAGAGGCTGAGGGAGCTGGGGTTGTTTAGTCTGGAGAAAAGAAGGCTTAGAGGTGACCTCATCACTCTCTTCAACTACCTGAAGGGAGGTTATAGCCAGGTGGGGGTTGGTCTCTTCTCCCAGGTAACCAACAATAGGACAAGGGGACATGGGCTCAAGCTCTGCCAGGGGAGGTTTAGGATGCCAGATGTTAGGAAGAAATTCTTTACAGAGAGGGTGATCAGGCATTGGAACGGCCTGCCCAGAGAGGTGGTGGATTCACCATCCCTGGAGGTTTTTAAACAGAGATTGGACATGGCCCTTAGTGCCATGATATAGTAATTGGAGTTGGATCAGGGGTTGGACTTGATGATCTTGGAGGTCTTTTCCAACCCAATCTATTCTATAATTCTAAGTCCAGTTAAGTAAAAACTAAATGAGAGAATGTCACCCTGATGCTAACTATGTAATAGTCCACACCACACATCTAAGTCTGCTTCATGATTTCAGCTAGGATGCTCTAAAAATCAAAATGTTCAGCCCAAGTCAGTAACAAAACACTGAAAGGTTCATATGAAATAAAAGCTCTCCCTTGCTCTTAATTGCAAGGTAAACGAATAAATAAACCTCTGCAAACTAACTGAGCACATAACTAATAGCTATGTTATCTAAAGCACTGATCACTGACAGGTCTTTCCTTCCATGTTTATTCCTGACATACCTTGGTAAGAGTGGGGAAATGTATTTGCTGAAACTTATCAAAATAATAAACGAGTCATATGAAGGTGAGAAAATATTTGACTACTTCCATTAATTTACATTACTCATTAGAAAATCCAGTTATGAACCCTTTCTGTATAGATTCATGAGTCACATACCATTACTGCATTACTTCTGTAATATTATTTATAAAACAACTAATTGCAAGCATTAATGAAGAGAAAAACACCTAAAATCCCCAAAAACAATACTCCTCTGGCAATAGGTAAAGGTCAAGTGTTAAGGGTTAAACAAATACTGCAAGCTATGTCAAAGTGCCTTAAACATAAATGTTAATTAAACACATACTCCATAATAGAGTCCATGTCTTAAAACTGAATGTACACAGCACGGTAACGAACAGCACCATGTGAATGAAATGGGAGAAGAATGAGAACAAAATAACTTCCTCAGTGCACTCATAAGAAACTGCTGTACACACCATGCTGTTTTATACTGAGAAATCAACTGTTTTGCACCACCAGTATTTACTCCACTGCAACATGCATAATTCAATAATAATGCAAGCCAGGATTTTCAGATGCATCAGGGCAAAACACTTGAAATACAAGACGATTTTAAGCCCACTTAAGTATTGAAAAATTACCTGCATTAAAATGAGGATCATCTTCCATTGACTGTACTGCCTCCTCAACTGCATCTATGGCACTTCCTCCACGTTTCAGGACACCATAACCTCGAAGCGCAGCTCTGGCAGTGCCAGCACGACATCCCTCTTCTCGCTCTTTGAAGATCCGTCCAGCTCCACCATGCACCACGATGACAGGCTTCATCCTGCCAAGTTCCTCCCAAGGCTTTTAGCTGTGCACACCTGTTAATTGTTTGGAAGGAGCAGTCTTTAGCACGTGCTCCTTTCTACATGGAGAAAGACTGCAGGTTAGTTAACAGATATAGGCAGCCTGATTGCAACCATTTTACCTTATAGGAAGCGAAGTACTCAAGAGGGAGCTCCTAATTCAGGTCTGGACGAGGCTCCAGGCAACTTAGTGCAACTTTTGAGGCCAGCCCTGCTTTGAGCAAGGGACTGGGCCAGGTGGCACAGGAAGGGCCCTTTTCAGGCTAAGTTACGCTACAATCTTATGATTTAGTATGCACCCTGTCAGGTGATAATACATTACAGAGAAACAAACATTTGAGGAACCCTTGGTCCTGCTAGCTGCTTGTTATTTTAGATAGGTAGTCCCACTGTCTGAGTACGGTAATATATAACCGGCAATAATAAAAAAAAAAAAGCAGCTGACCCGACCTGAGTTAACAGCTTACCCAGCTCAACCGGCCGGATCCCAGACCTCCGACCTCTTGCAAAACTTTGCACTCCGTGCAGGGAAACAAGGCGTTCACGCCTGGCAGGCAACAGCTTGTTGTTACTGCTTAGGGCCTCCTGCGAGAGACAGGAGATTGTTGCTACCCATCTCCGGTGATGCAAGTCACATTTTTGATTCTAGAAAAAGGCAAAGGAGCAGCAGCAGCCTCATCTCCCACTGAAATCTAGGGCACCTCTCAGTGAAAACTCTCCACGTGGAAAGTTTCTTGGGGACGGCTATTTTTAAAGACTGCGAAGAACAAAATCCAACTCCCTCTCCCTCATCCTGCAGGCAAATCTTTCCGACAGAGACTCCCGCAGTCCAGCTCCTCCCTCTCCTGCTGTCCCAGGGCGGCAGCTCGCTCCCGGCGCTGCCGGACGGGATGGCAGCAGGCGTGGAGCCCAGCAAACCCCATCCTGGGACGCCGTGGGGCAAAGCATCCCGTCAGCGAGGCCGTGCAGGCTTCTATTTCAACCAGTGGCTACACTCTTTCCTTGCTCTGCATGGGCTCCCCTCAGGCCCGCACCCAGCCGGGATCCGCCGTCCCGCTGCCCCCGCCCCGCGGAGAGCGGGAGCGCGTCCCCAGATCGCACCTGCAGCGCCCTGGGCGCGCTCCCACAGCGTGTCCCACAGCCGCCCTCAAGGGACATGGCACCGCCGAGCCCTGCCCGCAGTTAAGATGGCGGCTGCTGCCGCCCGTACCGGGGCGGTCCCGCCCAGCACCCCGCAGGGGCTGGGCCGCTCCCGCCGGCCCTGCCGCATGGCGCTCCCCTCGGCGTGCTGCCCCCTCAGCCGCGGTGCTGCTGTCGCCGCGCTGTGCAAGCCCGTAGTTGCAGTGTCACACTAGCTCATCGCCTGCCACCGCCCGATTTCTCCTCCAATTAAATTAGAAAAATGCCCCCCCCCTTCCCCTTCCAAAATCGATTACTACCCTTTCCTTTCCCTCTGTCCAAGCCGGATTATTCCCGTTCCCGAAGCTCGGGCTGCCGGTGCAGTTGCGTAAATGGAAAGGGGCTCCGGTCAGTGGAGAGCATCGTGCATCCCGGCCTGTCAAGCTGACACAGGCCAGGTGCAGATAAGGTGTGTGGGGCCACACTGATGCAAAATTGACGGCAAAGGCAAGGAATAAGCTTGATGTTTATTTTAGTTTTCATTATAGGCTGCTGGTAGAAAAAATAGAGTTCATGAAAAAAACCTGCAACCCACAGTTCAGAAGTTCCTTATCTTTGTAATTAAATGTATAAACAAATTATTCTCAAAGTTATACAAACTTCACCCAGCAAGCATCTGGCCTTCTTCTCTGACCATTCCTGCTTAGCTCACCACTTGTCTCCGTTGTGTTGCCCAGTGGATGCAGCCTGCTGTGGCCCCGCAGGGAGTCACTGACTGGCTATGCAAAAGTCACTCAATTCATGACCTGTTCTGATCCTGAAGGTTGGTTGAAAATTAATTAGTGTGGTTTAATTAAAAGGAACTACTCCTGATGGTTTTTCATTGTCACTGTTAGGATTAACAAAGAAGAATTTAAATTCCTCATGTGAATTATTTGAGATAATTGCCTGTTTTTATAGAATATTTATCTTGCTTTCGGATAATGTCAAAACAGGAAACAAATACTAGTTAGATTAAACAGTTTAGAAAAATTATTTCAGTTGTTTGCATGGACAGCTGAACAGCAAATTTATATAGTAACTTTAAGTTGAAATTTTAATATTAGTCTAATGTTACAATTCAACAAAATAAGCGTGTCACTTGATAAAACTAGAATAATTTGTTTCTACGTCAGCTTTTTACCTTAGCCCTCCTTGGCCACTGCCTTTCCATTGTGGTCAAATCATTTATGTACTTTTTAAAATGCTTTGAAGCTTCTCAGAGCAGATGGAAAAGTATTACTTTTAGTTTTATAACTATTATCTAATTTTTTTTTAAATCACTGCATTGAATTGCACACCAGGAACCTGTCCTAAAGCTATGTAAATTGTTAGAATAAGCTTTAAATAATTACTGTAGAAATCTATTGGTTTTGTTCTTGCTAATTTTCATGACACCTTTGCATAATACAGTTGCCAGAGAAATAAGTTTTAAAATATACAGAAAAAATTAGGGGTTTTGCATGTGCAGCCTTGTGGAGATTAGCTTTCCTGCTTGTCATAGAATCATAGAAACAGCCGGACCTCTGAGATCATCAGGTCAGGTGAGTATGGGCTAGAGGGCTAAAGCAGGGAAGTAAGTGATCTGGACACATGTGGGTGAGGAACATGTGTGTGAAAATACTCTGATACTGCAGGGTCTGCTCTGCATTTCTGGTAACTAAAATACAGCTGTATTTGTGCCTTCTGCTCTCCTGTGGAATCCATAAATTAAGGACATGCCCTCCTACTTGTAGAGAAAGAATTCCCCTAGAATCTCACTGAAAATTTAATTTTAAGAACCAGTAAAGAAAGTAAAATATATTATAAAAGTAACTATTTTAACACATATTCATTAATACATCTATTTTTAAATAAATGTTTATGTAGCAACTTGTCTATTTATCCATAACTATTTTAAAATCTTCATAGTATGATGTAGAACAGAAAGCAGTGCTCTGTATTTTATTAATTGGATTGTAGGAGCATGCAGATTTGATCAAGGCTAAGGCTGCTTAAGCAAGTGCCATAAGCATGCAGAAGCAGAATGCTAATTCACCCAGTCTGCAAATATGGATCTTTTTGTATTAGGCAGACCTGTCTTATGGAGATCACTGTAGCATTAGGATGCCCTGCAAAAACTTAGATGTTTAATAACTTCATTCATGTGCACAATTTGATTAAGTCTGTAAACTGCTTCCTACCATATTCTTATTGCAAAGAGTGTGCCAACTTTTAGGGGAGCTGGAAAAAACAGTTCACCTGAGAGTCAGTTTAATTTTTTTGAAAAGTGCAGTACTTCTTAAACTTATGTTATCAGCAGCGAACTGTGCAGTATTAAGACAGAAAATGGTAGATGAGTTATTCACTAAAATACAATTATGATCAACTCTAATTGATTAATGAGTTGGATGTTGAATAGTTTAGCTGGAAATATTTTCCTGGGAGGAGGGACTAGACTCACTGGTGTCCATGATGTTTTCTCTTCTTCTACCCAAAAGTGAGATTAAATTAGAGATGAGTTCCTTTTACTGTTTTGGGGAGATTTTAACCCTAAAACTCAGATGTCTTTAATAGGGCAGATTGTCCCAAATTAGAAGTTAAAAGCATCCTACTGCTCCCAGTATTTGAGTATTTCATATGCAGTGGGATGGTCCTAACAGAGAAACAGAAGTAGGCAATTCTCTTAGAAACCTGTGTACTGAGAAAGGAGGCAGAGCAGCATAGGATGCAGTACTAGTCATGGGAAATCCCAATTCAGATCCTAGAAGTGGATTTGACCAGTGTTCAAAGCTAAAGTTTAAAAATGGTCCTGATGGTTCCTGTGCCTCTGTTCTGTGTATTTACTGAGAATTTCTTGGTATTTATCAGCCTTGTGCTCTGCTGAAGGTGCATTCAAGGTGAGCATCCTAGGTAGGAGGCAATCAGACTGAAACATGAATGACTGGCAGAGACTAAAATTAGAACTTTTTGTTTTCATATTCTTCCTTCCTGTTGTTATAACAGCCCTGAAACCATGTTGCATTTTTGTCACCGCACAGCTGAAAAAACATGTTCATCTATCACCTCTATGCTTTTGAAGTCCCTCCCACAGCCTGCGAAGTCTATAAATCCCAGCCTGCTCCATTCTAATCACTTTAACTTCAAAGAAGGCAGATCAAGTTCAATTTTTTTGAGATTATTTTCAATTCCCTGTTTATCCCAAGCTTTACATCCCCTCTGTAAAACTCTTTCAGACATTCCTATTTTGGCTGATCTGCATAGGCAGATTATAGGCAGCACATTGGAAAACTTGTCTGTATGTCTGACAGAAGCTTACAGCTTCCCAGCAAGTGCAAGGGGCTTCTGGATCGATCCATTTGGAGAAAATGGCACCTTTAGGCTGCAAAGGTTTTAATTGTTTTGGCTCAACCCCACACCCCTATCCAAAAAAACTTGCAAACTCCAGAGACAGCACAACAATTACAGGCACTTAAACTGGTGGGATTTAGGAAGTATTTCTCTTACTTGCCTCTCAAATTTATTTTGTCTTATATTTTGATTAAATTAGGAAAGATGCAGTTCTCTTAGTTCTTAATGATATACAATTAAGATGCTAAAGGCTATAATTAAAACAAAGATTTTAGCTTAACCCATGTTTTAGGCAAAACCATCATTACTTTTTAAGATACATTAGAACATGTTTGCTTAAATATTACTTGAGATAAGGCCTCAAGCTTCCAAAGACTCCAGTAATTTCCAGGCAAAATTATAATACACCTTAGCAGTAATTAAGTCACACTTCTAAGAATTTTGTCATGTGTGCAGGCTTACTGAGGCCAGTAGATGTATCCACCATCAAGATTTTAGGTAGCCTTGTAAATATATAAAACACCTTTGGGAGAAAAGTTAGCACAAAATAGTTTAAAGTATTCGTAGAGGATTTCTCTGTGACCTCATTGGAACAGGATGAAAAACAACAAAATGACAAATGAAAATCTGTCAATGTTTCTTCTTACTCTGCAATTTCTTGTGACTCAAATGTATAGAGCTTTAATGAACCTAAATGCAGTATATCACAGAATGCAGGAAATAAAAAACATCAGCATGGCAGATACATAACAAGTGTATGTATCTTGTGTCCTTGAGATGCTTTTCATACTTGAGAAATGAAATAGGAATAAAATGAAACTAAGTTGGGACACAGTCATGGAATTAAAATAATTACTTTTGAGTAACTTTTTAAAGACTTAACCAAGTTGCCAGGCATCGAAGAGAATCTCAGGGCTCCTGTATCAGATGGAATATTCCCTCTTGTGGTTTGAAATGGGGTTCAAATTATAAAAACTTAGTTAAATGCAGCTCCAGGGTGTCATAATCATTACTTGCAGGCAACCCTGTGGAGGTGTTTACTTTTGCAGAAAGGTGAGCAGGGAAAAATTAAGCTTTGGAATTTTGCTGGATGTGTGTTCTATTGGAGGTATGCTTATATATAGCAGTTACCCTGTTACCAGGAGAATTGTAAGGACTGTGAGTGGCCATTAGAAAGAAAAATAAAAGCATGATACTTTTGCTTAGTTCATATGTTTGGTGTATTTATTAGAATTATGTTTGTTTTTAATGAAGTAAAAAGCTGAGATGTAGCAGTAGAACCATGAAAATTTAAGTGATGAAGTAAGTTTAATGCAAATGGTTTATGTAGCCAATGAAAGTATATCATAATGTAGTAATTAACTTTAAGACATATTTAGAAAAAATGAATGCAATTTACATAAAACAAGATTCGAAAGGCATGTTTAGAAAAGTTACTCTCCAGAGTTCTTCCTCAATTTCTTTCTTCAGAAATTTTCATTGTTTTCTGTCTGCTGCCAGATTGTTTTTGAGCAAACACAATTTTTGTTCCTTTTTTTTTTTTAATAAGGAATTGGATTTATTTCCCTTCATTTCCACCTAAGTATAAACTAATACAATATCTGTAATAATGTAACAATAATTGATAAAAAATGAAACTGGAAAAGCTTATAGTTAAGACATCGCTGTGCTTGTAGTTTTTAATGTGAGAATAACTTCAAAGAAAATGTCAGGAACTAAGGGTTTTACTTTG